TCTTCATCACCTTTATCTTTCTATTTTTAGGTTTATTTCACTAGATTATACTTATTGAATAGTTTCTGTGAACCCTAATCTTCTCCATTACCACTAATACTTCTACTACCTCTACAACTATGAGATTTGAATTGACAATTGTATCTCTATGTATTAATGTAGTACGGCAACTTGAATTAATGTATGCATGTATGTATGTACGAAGTTCTATGTTTTAGCTGACTGACTGGCTAAACTTGGGTTTTATCTACGTTACTTTTGTTTTACTCTATATATATTTGAATTAAGTAGCACGTAACTGAGGAACCCAATGGCTCACCTGGTCAAAATTTAAAAAAACTATCCTACATTATTAGATAATCCTAGTTTGAATCAAATCGTGTATTTCATCTCATTAAATAGTGAAGTAATTGTTTAATAGTTGTATAATATCCAACTTCAAATCACACTCTATTCCATGTTCATATCTCATTAAAAAAATACTTCGGTTTAGGTTAACTGAATAGTATTGTAGTGAAGGAGAACACAGGTGAGGGAAACCAAATTGTACTTAACGAAAATTACAGAGTTACTCAGTAAAATAAGAAAACCATATCGTAAACGGTTAATTTGCAAATCTTCAATCCATCATCAATCCATTGTCTGACATTTCACCACTATTCATGCTTTTCATACAAATTCCATTGTGTTCCCACTCTTCCTTTCTTGATCTTCCCCCATGTTCTGCTGCCAGACATAACGTTGACACTCGCGTCATATGCTACTTATAAGTAGCGCGCACCACAGGGAGAATTAAATTAAATTGTATTTTATAGTCAGTTTATCTATTAATCTTATGTTTTATTTTATGTCTTGTTTCGAAAGGTGATGACTGGCTCAAAACCTGAATTTAAAGTTTTATATCGGCAGGTTTTTAAATTCTGGCATAACATAAAGTTAAATGATGTACTGCTGTTAAACATCACAGATTATTTGTTAACGATCTACAACGTGAAAATTATTGTCATAGAGATAGATGTATTTCATCCTAGTATGGAACTCCGTAACAATGTGTAATGCAGATATCAGACGAGACTAAAAGCCATGTGAACTACATGTTCACTAGTAAGCAAGACAGTTTCAAATCACGAAAACTGATCTTCAGAAGAATAATTTAAATAGTTTTGTTCAATATATACCATAGGTTAATGCTACTTATGTTGTCCTACTTACTTAACTATCTAACCGAAAGTGGAATAAGCAAGCACGGGAAAACTTCCAGTTTAGGTAGTTCTGAAATCCAAGGAGTACTACATAGCTGTTTCGTTCTTGCGTCGGATTGATCAATTGTCAACATCCACAATCCTATTAATTAGATGAGCGCTTTGCATTCCAATGTTGTACACTTCCAACTTGAGGTAATTCATGTTTTGGTGAGAGGATCAAACTATGACATGAATAGGGTTGAGTATGCCGTCACTTTTGTGTCGAACACTATAGCAAAGCAAATGTTCAATGCTCCCTAATTTTCTATGATATTCTAACTGGTGTTAACCTAAGACGAATACAACCTACAAATAAAACCATTCTCTAAAAACTACTTATTAGTTCGCATCTTTTGCCTAGTTTTAAATATCTTATCTGTTGTAAACTCAGAATTACCAACTCATACTCTCTAGTGTGATTTACACAGCAGGCCTAGTTAAGCTGAACCACATAAATACAAATTTGGTTAAATATTACCTTGGAATATACCTACATATGCACTAATCTATCCTAATACGTGTACGTGTTTGTTCACGTGAGTGCATTTCATTTCGTATATTCAATAATAAATTCTCAATCTTCTTCGACTTAGGTATTCAATAGTCTGTCACAAGGTCATTCTTATGCTTTCTTTTAAACATTAAGCTAACCTACTTAAATGACTATTGAAAATAATTCGTAAACTAACGTTCTGTAATCTCATTTATTCCAGAACAAGTCTTGTATATATATTAGATAAAGTATTGACCGGCATAGCTATTTACTACTTTTGACTACAGTCTATGATGAAGTAACATTTTTGAGTATAAACACATCTATAGATCAATGTTGAAATATGCTTTGAGATTATTTGAAAGATAGAACAAAACATTTGTCGAATTCCTGCTGGATTTTATTGGTTATTGATCTTAATAAAACACTTTTTAGATTGACACTTGTAAATATGCCGTGACCTCAACGATGATTTATTATGCACCGTGCAACTAATTCACTGTTACCAAATATGGTTATATAGATTTTGATGATCAAAATGTTTATTTCTGTCCGATCTAAATGTCATTTTTTGTTTAACTCCACTAGGAGCCCTGCTAGAGTTATTGTAGGTCCCGACCCTGACTACTAAAGGCAAAGGGTTGGATATAAGGTTAGCAGCCTCATTCCGTGGAAAACCAGCTTGCTGAAAAAAAAACGCTAACAAGAAAAAATAATTTAAATTCTGCCCTGTAAGATGGAAGGTTTTTATTAGGGAGAGTTATCACGTCTCACGATGAAAGCCGAGTTTCTTTGGAAGCCACGAGGTCAATGCCCATTGTCACAACCACAGTAACAACTAATATACATATATGAAATGTTCACTAAATGTGGAAGACTGAGATGACCACTTAACTTGGTCAGGAAATGAAATCATACAACCTAGTAAAGCTTGGAATAAGTGAGACTCATCGGATGCAGGTTGGATAAAAAGAGATTAGTTTCAGGAGAGCTGCTGTTATACTCCAGCGATGAAGAAGAGAATTCCTTCCACACACAAGGAGTTACTCTAATGCTGTCCAAAGTAGCCCAAAAACCATATATATGAAGGACATTTCATGGACCTAGGCTGATTAAAGCATCCTTCATAACAAAGAAAAATAGGATTACAATGAATGTCACCCAGTACTATGCATCCACTGACGATAACATTGCTAGTTAGCGCCTACGCTCCTCAAAGGGTAACAAACGTAAGTAATTAGGAAATGAAAATGTCATGAAGTTTATTCATGAACTTGAGTAAAATCAAAGATATGAATTATTTCTTTATTCTGGCGTGTGTACTATAGTAATTTTTAATCATTACTCTCTTCTTCTCAGCTTAAGAGTTTTAGTTTTTTAAAACTTATTCATATTGTTACATAAATTAATGTCTATGATGTAACAGTTGTTGCGTAATTAATACGGAAAAAGTGCAAACTTTTAGGAGCAATCAATTTTCTTGGTTTTATTAACGTAAATTATTTGAAATCATGTTTAAATTAAATATGATTTTTTTTCAATCAGAGTTATGGAGATCAGTGCTTTTACACATTGAAATCAACAACCAATCATTGTTGGACCACCATTCGAAACACACAAGCACTAGACGGCCGTCTCGTCCTGATACGGGACTTGTCAGCATTACGCATACACGACTCCTGAACGCCGTACGATTCGAACCCAGAACCTTTGTTCTTGTACACAAACGCCTAACATCTGGACCACCGGGCCGGCATCTAACGATGTTCCTTAGCAGTGTACTACAACGACGTCAGCAAGTAATATTAACAGATTGCACTAAAATGTAAAAACAATTAAATTACAGATGAAACACTAAAACACTATTTACATGTCCTTTGGTAAGACAGAAAGTTGAGTGTTTACTCATATTCCAGTGATCCTAGATCTTCAAGGGCAAAGTAGTCTTTATATATTTTGATACCACTCCACTAACTAACCTCCGGGCATAATGTTGACGCAATGTCTGTCGAATTCACAATATCTAGTTCTTGCCTATTAACATTCTTAGAGGTCATATTTAATCAAAAGGCTTAACTTTGACCTTTGTGTTCTTAAACAGTCAGTGGTTAACCTGTAACTACCTTGGTATCACAAATAAACTAGACACTTTAACCTCGTAAGTGTGATTATGATCACAATCTAGTAAGTGACATTCATTCACACGTCCTTTTTTTCCGTTAGATTTCTTAAAACAAATTTTGTTTCAATATGTATTAGTTATCTTATCTGAACAATTATCTTGAAAAGAAAAACCTGTTTAAAAGTTTCATTCACAACTTCGCTTACAATTGATCCCTCTTTTTAAAAAAGGATGGCGTTAGACAGCTGCTTTGCACAACATACAGGACCCATCAATAGTGTGCGAATCCGTGATTCAACCATAGGAGATCAAATCCACAACAGCTGATCTCGTGCTCCAGTGCTCTTTACCTCTAGACCACTGAGCTGGAACATAATGCTGTCTTAACTTCAATCAGTTCATCACATTACACAACCAATTTTCATTGTTTATGGTGGATAGCAGCTGTTCTACATCCCCACGGGTTGAACTCCACTGGTCACGATTGCTCATGAGAACTCCAGGAATTGCCTTTCTCAGTTTAGTCACTAGTGTAAACATCACTATCGGCTACCATAAGCGAGTTGTGGAGATGGTCGAATTTTTTTTGTTATAAATACCACCACGAATTGATCTTGGTTAATTAGTATTATGAGGTTAATGAAGATTCTCGCCACAATACCCTTATTAATTAAAATAATAAACGTACGAGTTTATACAACTATACTGTCACTTGAAATTGACCATATTGGTCGAGTGAAACAGCATGACATACAATAGAAACAACAAACATGCAAATAATAGGTAATCATAACACCAACACCCTTTACATTTATGATAGAATAAAGCCAAACTGGAAAACAAATGTCCTTGTGCCACTTAGTTGTTGTTGTTATTGTTGTTGTTATAATTATCGTTGTTTTTGTGTGTATGTGTACGATATGCATGTATATGTATATATATGTAATGCGTGGTTGTTCCGTTTCGTTGGTTGGTTGATTGGTCAGTTGGTTGGTTGGTTGGTTGATTGACTGATTGATTGATCGATCGATCGATTCAATCGGTTGTTTGGTCTGAAAACTTCTAGCCCCCAAAAGATAGATAGATAGATAGATAGTGAAGAGGTTAGACACAACCAAAACAAACCAACCATTCCATATAGCCATGATGCATCAACCATCAAAAATGCTAACATATCAGACTGACTCTACATTGATTGGTCAATGTCAAAAAATGGACCATAGAAATTAAATCAATAGCTATGATTATCCAAATTTCAGTGTCTACATAAGAATACCCCCAACATGACCAACAACAACAACAGCAATATACGCCTAAATTATTGATACAAATAGTAAGACAAGCGGTTGATTTATATGGGTTGCTAGAATTTATTTAACAACACATAAAATAGAATGACCCCTTATCCTCAAGGGAATCCGGACATTTCAAATTGTAACAAAAATGATTCAACATTACTTTCAAATGATGATTACATAATACACACCTCATCTATTCGATTGCCTTTCATAGCTGCTGGTTTAGTAAATGCTGCAGTCGCTGAACTTTTAAATCAATTGTCATGTCGATTCTTTGAAATGGCTATAATTACATCGAAAATTGTAGACAGTGAGAAAGATTCTTTAGTTGAACAAAAAAGTAATAATGAAGATATCAATAATAATGCACAAAATTCATACAATAATAGTAACTCATCAATTTTTCCACAAAATGAACGACTTACTAATACTACTACTAATACTGATACTACACAAAACCAATCAGAGTTGCAGAAAACAATGCAAACGGAGTTAGATAATCTAAGCGCTTTATCACCTGATCATATGCCAATTTTAAAACCTATTAATCAAGATGTAATTACCACTCCACTTCCTGTTCCGCCTCATCATGATACTGCTGCTGTTTCGCCTTCTTCCATATCATCAACAGTTTCTTTGTTAACAAACTCCACGACGAATTGTAATTTTCGTTCAGAGGCAATGAAAATTAAAGAAGAATCAGAAATAGAGTATACACAAGAATTGAACATTGATCATGGTGGCGATACCATGAACACTAATAATAATAATAATATTCATGACTATTCTATACAACATGCAAATCATTATTTAACTAATCAAACCAACAATCAATATTCATTACAACAAATACATCAATCACAAAATCCCTCACAATCTAATTTAACACGTGTTACTACTACAGTGGATTATTTAAAACGTTATCCATGTACATATCGTGGTTGTGGAAAAGTATTTTTCAGTCGAACAAGTCTTATTTATCATAAACAAAGTCATGCAATTGAAAAACCTTATATATGTACTTATCCTAATTGTAATGTGACATTTTGTAATGAAAATTTATTAAAAACACATAGACAATTACATGAACCAAAACAATTACGTGAACGTTTTTCATGTACATTACCAGGATGTAATAAAGTATTTGTTACACGTGAATGTCTCATTGAACATATACGTGTACATACTGGTGAAAGACCATTTCAATGTGATTATCCAGGATGTACACATCGTTTTGCTAGACGTTGTAATTTATTTGCACATAAACGTGTACATTTAGATAAAAATCAACGTCGTCAATATCATTGTATACATATAGGTTGTGGCAAAACATTTTTATATTCACGTAGTTTAACTGAACATATGAATGTACATTTAGGTGAACGTCCATATGTTTGTGATTATGTAGGATGTGAAAAAAGTTTTACAAGTAAGAGTTATTTGTATGCACATAGACGAATACATTTAAGTAGTATGAATAAATCAATGAATTCTGTATGTTCTCTAGCATCTAGTAATAATAATAATCAACCATTTGATTTGAATAATACTTGTACTAACACTACTACTACTTCTACTACTACTACTACTACTAATACTACTCATAATAATAATATTCCATCAATCCCAGTCAGTGTAACTATACCAGTACTTCAATCAATACATTATCCATTTCCTCAATCAATTTTATCAAATAAACATCAACTTTTACAACAACAACATCAACAACAACAATCACATCAACATCAACGTATTCAATCACAATTATCACATTCTCTTTTAACGCCTACTAACATGACTATGCCTAATCATCATCAACATCATCATCATATCTCAACTCATTTATTCTATCCAAATCAGCATAATTAATTTGTATTTATTTATACACACATTACATTTCATTTATTCATATTCATACAGAAAGCTTTGAATGTACTCATTTTTTTTTAATGACTTACTTATTGATCGATCGATTGACTGATTGATTGGATTTTTTTTGGGGCGGGGGGGAGGAACATATTCTTCATTATTTATATATTAGAAAATAAACAGTGATTCTCAACCTATCAATGCATAATATTAATAATAATTATTATAATAATACTTAAAAGTTTAATATATGTATACATAATCTGTTGTTTTTGTTTAACATACGTTGTTTTGTTTTGCTTGTCATTTGTTATGAAAGAAGTATTAAGTAGTATTTTAATTTATTTATCAGCAATACAACCAAAAAACAAACAAGAGTTTTACGATTTGTTTTATTGTATTACGAGGTTGTGAAGATTGTTAAGTTACACATTTTTTTGAAATCATGAATCGATCAATGTTAGACCATCATTTGGGACCTGGAAGCATTGGACGGCTGTTTCATCCTGGTATGGGACTTATTCATCAGCAGTGCGCATCGACGACTCCTGATCAGAGTTAAACATTATCACTGGTCCAGAGGTTAGGCGTTCGCGCGCAAAACTGAAGATCCTAGGTTTGAATCCTGTGAGTAGTAGGAGTCGTGAATGCGCGCTGCTGATGTGTCATATACCAAAACGAAATGTCCATCCAGTGGTTCCAAGTCTAACAGAGTGATTCATTCATGATTTCCATGTTAAACAACAATCTCCTTAACTCTATAATGTAAAAATGTGTATGTCTTATATGTACCAAATAATGTAATGACTGAGGTCGTAACCTGAATCATGTGGTATTCAATTATAATAAACAACAGAAATGTGCTTTTAGCTTTGAAAATACCTTCATAGACCATGCACTTTTGGGAAGGGTGGAATGATTATCCTGGTCACAAGGTTAGGAGTTACTTATTACTTTGAGGTCTTTCTGGTCAGTCAGTCAGTTACAACGTAGAACTTCGTGTGTACGTACATCAGTTCAAGTTGCCGTACTATATTAGCACATTGGTACGCAACTGCCCATCCAAATTCCATAGTAGTAGAGATAGTAGAAGTATTAGTACTAATGGAGAAGATTAGGATTTGAAGATATTATTCAAGAAGTATAATTCAGTGAGATAAGGTTAGAAAGACAAAGGTAGAGGTGTTGAAGTATGCAGAAGGTCAGGATTTTGAGAGAACACAAATAGTGTATGCACTTGGCTTATTGCAAACAATTTTGAGCCATGTCATTCAAGGTCTCCAATCATCGATTACTATCATCTTGCGGACCCCGACCAGGTAGTCTACATCAACCAACATGATTCAGTCCATTTGTCAGTGACTTCATGGATTTGTGCCATGTTTCGGTTTGACAGCAGCCATCTTTATTCCGACCTACTCCTACACCACAAAACACCGAACTACAAGGCGGTCGGAGGTCAGGCATTCGTAGCACCCCCACCTCAGTTAATGAAGTTTCGATACTTCATCTATTGATCTGTCATCCTGACCTAGTACCTGTTTCTTAACAACAGTCCCAAAATTGACAAGTAATGCTTGGAAGACACCTATGATCGAAAACTAGTGACGGAAAAAACTGTCGAGCAGTAGATTTGTCCTCTGTTTAGCAGATAGATAACTCGCCTACGCCATAAGTAACGTGGGTTGGCAAATGCCAATCGAGCTTTCTGTATCCCTGCTGAGACTTCGTCAGTCACCAGGTCATCAGCACTGATGAGACTCTGAAGATAAGTGAGGAGGTCAACACGCCCAACTATCACTTGTTAAGGTGCTGGCGCAGGCTAATCTTGAAACACCATTTTGCATTTCGAGAGGGAGAACCGGATCCCCAACATGCTTGCATTGTTGCTTTATGTGTTCAGAAGACTCTGCCTATTGTCAACATATTCGCAAAATAAAAAGGTGTCATCGACATACTCAAAGTCACCAAACCAGTCTCCTTGTAAAAATTCAGGTTCTCAAAATTCAGGTGATGAAAGTGTTGTAACTGAAAGCACGTCAATGACAAAGTTAAACAAGAATGGAGAAAGTGGACATCCCTGACGAACACTACTTGAAGTGATCATTTCTGATGATAGTTCCCCATAAGCTCTAACTCGACTAGTGGTGTTCGAGTAGTGAGTCTGTATAAGGTTGATGTACTTTTCCAGTTCACCTTTCACTGACAGACACATCCATGGAACCTCACGATCTGCAGAGTTGAATGCCACTTTAAGATCCAGTAAGATAACTATTGTCGGACTCCTAAATGTGTGTCTGTGTTCTAGGACCTGACGTAGTGTGAAAATGTAATTTATACGGCCACGTCCAGGTCGAAAACCAGTCTGGTTTTCTCTAGTCTGCTCTTCACGATGTCTAGTTAGGCGTCGAAATATTATTCCCAGATTCTACCTGAGATCTCGCTGCTAAAACTGGGCCACCATCCTTAAAAATCTCAGGGGTCAGTCTACCAGGACCTGCTGCAACTCCCTAGCTTGAGATTTCCTATCACTTTCTCAACTTCATTAAGAATCGGAGGACTTACATTAATTTGCCATTAAGGTTGACTAGAGATCGTTGGTAGCCGAAGTGTGACTGAAGGCCTGTTGAACTGACCACTAAAGTGTTCTGCCCTTCGATCCAATCTCCTGAATTGAGAGTGAATAATAAGTAATAGTCTCACTTACTGTCGGATTCCTAACACCGGTTTTCGTGATAAGCCTGAACAGTTGTTTACTATTTTATAGATGAATGATTGAAGATACATTGAAATACAAAAAACAGCATATTAAGAGTTGTAAATATAACTAATCAATTACTGGATAATAACCAATATCATAGTTTCAAGTCTTTATTTAATACTGATTAACTCCTACAACTGAACTCGTAAGCTCTGATAACCTAGATTCCTATGTAGCTGAAAAAAGCCAATCTTTCAATATCGGATGTTTATAATCAATTATACTTAAATGACTTATTTAAATTCAATGTTAAACTCATACTGTTTTAGTGTCATTTTCATTCACTTAATTTTTCAATTAGAGTTATGGAGATGATTGTTTTTACACATTTGAAATCATCAATCAATCACTGTTAGATCACCAATAAAATCCTGGAAACACTGGATGGCCATTTCGTCCTGGTATTGGACTGCTCATCAGCAGTGCGTATCCATGACTCCTGCACCTCGCAGGATTCACTTAATTGTTTCTTCAACATATCATTGTCTAGGTCATCGCTGTTAACTTGATCTTCAACAATTCTTCCTTTAATGTTTAATAAGTAAAATGATAAATTCTTATTTCTACAAAACACATTCCTCATAATTATGCTTCATATTGTGAATAATGATATTTAAGAATGATTTTGAAATAGCTAAACAATAAACAGAATTGTTAAAAGTATATCCATTTTAAACATCGTAATAAAAGTTCTTCGTATTTCAGAATGCTAGGTATAACATCCAATATGTTAGTGACAAGAGTTTCCCAACTGTAGCTGCTACCTTGACGTGGCGATCGGGCGTATCCAAAATGTTCACCCAACCGATCTATATTGCTTGGAACATATGTTTCTTTAAGTCCATTCATACCAAGCAGGTCGATTGTAGACTGAATAAGACTAAAAGCAACAACTTAAGGTCTAAGGGCGAAGTTATACTGCTGACTGTAGAGAGGTGTAACAGCAGTAAGGTGTTCCCCTCGGCCACCCAGCATCTGCAGAGATTCCGCCTTCTCACAACGGAAGCAAGGGGTTAGAAAAGTTCGACCCCAAAAACGTTACATCTTACCTTACCTCACGGATTCCTATCTACAATGGTAATTCATTTTGATGAGCGGAGCTAACACTTCAGAAACCTCCAATAAAAAGATCATGCCTGACTGGCCTCAAACAGTTGTCCCTTGGTCTCTACAGTTATGCTCCCAGGTTTCTAAGACCGTCATTTAGCCAAAATTCTTTTCAGATTCCTCAAGAAATACGCTTCCACGGTACGAACAACCATGAAGTGACATCCGCTCTCATATCCTAACAACACATGAGATTAACTTGTTCATAATCAAATCTTTCCTACACTTCTTAATAACTCAAGAGTTTACAATTCAAAAGTACAAAACATCATACTGACTTGACTTATGTACCATTCTGTATTATCTGTCCAGTTTATATATGTTTGACATATGATATTCCTAAACTTGAATATTCATTCAAAACATATATCGGTCATTGTTTAGACAACTACTATTAGAAATCTGGAGGCGTTAGGCAGCTGTTTCATCTCCTAGTATGTGACTCATCATCAGTGAGCATCCACATATTAGGACAAAACGACCATCCAGTGCTTTCAAGTTTCTAATAGTGGTATAACATCTCCATAACGCTATAATCAAAAATAGAAAACTTTAACATGCATCCGAGCTGCTGAGAAATCTCACACCACTAGGATTGTTTCATAACAAGACGTAGAAAATCAATAAATGTGTATAACCACTCCCCACATTAGATATCAATTTAACTATTCTATGTATTTATCAATAGAGATAGATCAGTTAAGTAACATTATTATGCTTTTTCCTAAATATAGTCTACTTAAAATTTTTACAACTTATTTCAATCTCAATAGGATTGAACAAATTATAGACATGAATAGTTTTAACATTGGTATCGAATGAAACATTTTAGGTCTAAATGACATTGAATAACGATTTCTCAACAGTAGCATTGAATTCTAACTCATTGACTTTGTGAGTCATATCCAGTACAATATCTGAATGTACTCATTTCACGCAAATTCACAGTGATTGACAGTGTACTACTGAGAAAATCCCAATCTTCACTACAATAGCTGTCCAGTACTCTGGTAGATATAAAACCAGTGTACAATGACAAAAATATTTTCAAATTGAATAAACTTCATGATATAACTAACTACGAACTGATCGATAATACAGTTAAACTGTATTGAACATTCTGTAGCACAGTTAATTGCTATTTTTGAAATACAATGGTCGCTATCGTTGTTTTAATCGTATTCTATTTCATTCTTGTTTTTGAAACAGAGAAATGTTTTTTTTTTCATTACATCAACTTACTACTCATTGGTCGATTCCTTAAAACTTTATAAATTATGAACATGTTAAAATAAGAAACAACCATTACATTCTGTTTAAAGCGAGTTGTTTTCTTAGTCATATGTAGTTCAAAGTTAATGAATATCTTTACTGACAGATTTGATATTGCAAAGTATTTTGTTTGAATTAGATGTATGGTGATCAGTGTTTTTACATATTGAAAT